GAGAGGAAAAATAAACCTCTGGGTAATACTTGGATAACTTTTCTGACTTTGCGGAGATGCGCGTCTGCACCACAGTCTAAGACACTCGTTACTCAGACTATATAATGCACACGGTTCCGTTTCCGAGCGTTTTTCGGTTTTTGGTTGTAATTAATGCGTTAATTTCTGAAACTGAAAGTACCATTTTCACGTACGTTCTGTTCACACGAAAACGTATGACAACGACGTCAGGAAGCAAAAACGTTTCAAATAGTGAAAACGATGCCAAACATTCGTTCTCTATGTCTGAAACGTTTGGTCGTTTTGGCACTTTGTTATAGTGTAAACAGAAAAGTAGAAGGCGAAAATGAAATTCCGTGTTTGAATTTGGAAACAAAGACTATAAAAAACTAGTGCTTTGTCAGAAAATGTTGCGAGAAAAACGGTCAATGTGAACAAGGCGCCTAAACGCTAAATTTGAAAACGGCACTGCAAAAACGCTCAAAAACGTGACCCGTGTGCACGTAGTTTCAGTCTCGATTTAGGACTTATGAAAACACAGTATAAATTATGTTAAATTTAAATTTTTTTCAGCTTTATATGTTTAGTATAAAGCAACAACACACGAACAGGCATCCATTTCAAAACAAGAGCCATATTGGTGTCCCTCAGTTACTAGCACACCAATATGATTTTCATTACCTACATCTAACCTTTACAAACTTTTGAAAAACTCGGCAAATTCAACTAGCGTCACTCGGCAATTTGACCTTCGACACCCCCCCCCCCCAATCCATATCCCTTTGCAACGGCCCTGGATTCGCCCCAAGTCGTTTCGCCCCCAAGTCATTACATGTCAATTTGTATTTGTAAGAATACCCCAAAACTTATTGAATATTTGATAAAGCTTTTTAGCAAAATATATGAATTACAAACTAACAAACTAGCCCATATTTGCGAGTACTGTGGACAAATGGATCAAACGGCAACCGCGCAAAAATCGAAAACCTATTCACTAATGCATGCACGCTCCAAACTTGTCAAAGCCAAAGGTGACAGAAGAACTGACAAAATGTGACATTTCAAAACAAAAACGAAAACAAAAGCGTGAAAAGGTTTCACAAAATCGGTGATAAACACGGTGATTAGTTTTTACAATGGATGAACGGAACAAATCCCGGAACGGTGATTAATTTTTGACAATAGCCGAACGAAACAATACACAGCTTTCAAGGTTTCAAATTTAGTTATTCAAGTTTTTATAAATAGAAAAATGACTCAATCCCGGAATTACTCATCCTTCAAATATGTATGGAATGAAACAGACAAATTATATAAAATGATGTGAAGTGTTAGGGAAGTATTTCACTTCAGCTGACTTGCGAGGCTGTGAGTATTGAGCACACCGAAATCTTCCCTGTAAAGTTTAAATTTGTCATAGCGATTGCGTTCACGACTGTTGCAAAGTAACATGTCTGCGGATAAAGATTGTTGCAAACGTTGTAAGAAATTTGTCCGACCACGGCAAGAAGGTATTCAATGCGATGGGTACTGTGCGATAATTGGCAACACAGGACGTGCGACACCGGGATTTCAAGAGGCGAATATAGGGAAGCTGTACGATCTGGCAAAGGAGTAGACTGGCGGTGCAACAATTGCCTCTAGTATTGCATTTAGTTTATTTTCAAATATTTCAAAATTACCACTTGGAGGTCTGTAGATAGTACCAACAATAATATTTTTACCAGTTGTTGAAATAATTTCAATGCAAAGTGCTTCATCTTATAATAATTAATAGTGCAATTATAGTGTATAAATATATAGGCTATAGAATGGTGTAACAAATGTTGTATGGCAAATGCATTTTTAGCCAATCTAGGAAACTTGATTTTCAAAATTTTCTGGCAGAGCATGGATCCTCCTGGTGGTGTCCTTTTTTAGCATCTGTATTTACTTAATTAGGATCAGACCTATATTCATTTCAGTGGATCATACCCCTCGATGCGTGTTGTCTAAATCAGTTTTATGTTATATTCCTAAAAGTATTATTAATTAAGATTTTTAGTGCACTGAAATTGATTTTTCTGTTAAAATATAACATAACATTCAATCGAACAACTTGTTAGTGTCACAGACAGTGTCCAAGTGTTGATTTACTTGATTAGTTGCAGAAAAAATTTCAGTGAACCTTTTGCGGTCCCAGAAAGTAAAATATTTTTTCCACCTCTGAGTATAATGCAATTAAATTCATTATCATACGTGGTCACTTGTGTGTACTTTTAGACAAGATCTTCCCGGGAGAGGCAAAATTATATTCATTATATAACATTTAAACGCAAGTGTTTATATGGAAATTTTTCAACTCATCTCGGCTGGTACGGTCACCCTGGCGGTAGGGACACTTATATCACATATTTTAATTATTTTAAGGCCTGTATCTGGAATGATAACATGCGGGAGAAACGTGAAGCCAATGCCAACGCCACTTGACGTGCGCTGAATCGTGATAGACCGCGCGGTGATGGCGTATGTGTTCACGCGAGGCTTCACTTTTTACACAGAGTAGAGACATACAGAGACGTAACTAGTGTACCCACTTTTTTTGTGCGCATGCTCGGCAAGTTACTAGATGCATGCATCTGATTGGATGACGACCTGATGACGACTCACTTTAAACTTGCTGAGCACGCGCAGTTGATCATTTTTCGCCCGGTCGCCTGAAAAAAAGTGGGTACATGATAACGTAATCTTCCGCAGTGTTTACAACGGCCAGTTACGTCTCTGTATGTCTTATCTACTCTGTGCTTTTTACCTGCCAAATGACTGAATGTTATCATTCCAGGTAAATAGATTGAGTTCTGTTGACAGACGCAAATGTACAAATTGCGTTAATGAGCAAGCTGATCTGATATTCTATACCTCTAGAACCTGTAATATTGTTTTTTATGTTACTCTGAGTGTATATCCACACCGGGCAGGCTGAAAAGTTAGCTGGCCACGGTGGGAATCGAACCTGTGACCTTTGGGATACTAGTATTTAAAAATGTAAATAGTTAAAATCTAACAATTATTAAATTAATATATAATAATGAAGTTAGCTGTCAACACTAATACCAATGTAATCGTACACTGATATGGATGGCAAAGGCTATATATGCGCTATAGCACGCCAAATTCAATTGCGCGAACGAGTATGGATCACATGGTGCGCTTATGTATTGCACGGCCAAACTAACATCACACTCGATTTGTTTGTAATGAAGTGATTTCATCGAGTATTTGCTAGAACTCTTGATCCAAAGACAAATTGGTACGCGTTCGATGAAACTGAAATGACTCGACTGGCACTAGTTGTCAAATAGAAATCCATTTTATGATTAAAACAACTGAATATCTCCTGTAATATACTTTATTTTGATTCCATATTTTTGTTAGAGCCATAGTTCTCATAACTAAACATAATTACAAAATTTCAACTAGTTTCATAAAGAATAACGAAAGATATAATTGACTGAATACATCAAAATGGATTTCTATTCGGACAACCCTTTCTGAGCGCTGATTGGCTAAAATACGAACACGAGATCACCTGGAACATAGCTAGCTTGCGTAGCAGGCTCATGGGAAAAATAGAGCCTGCAACAATCTCAAGGAAATTTGGTATTTCGCGGCTATGAGAGGACGCGAAATGATATGCCGTCTGTCTGTGGCGCAGTGTCTATATGCCTTTTTAATAAGTGTATATTTAAGAGAGAATAGTGAATTTGGGTTTTAAATGTTTCATATGACATATGCAGGGGTAGAAATTTAATTTTTTTTGTACTATACAGCCGGAATAGAAGATTTTTATATTTGCTATTCCGTCTGAAAATCCACTATTCCTTAATGTACTGTTTCTGTTCATGCAGGGTCCGCGCTAATGTTCTGATTTTCGTGAAATCATCCTTGAGACTCCTAAAGTGAACTGAATAATTGAATAACAAAAAATAAACATGTACAGTGCATTGCTCTGTACAGTCATGAACAAATTAATAATATGATGCTTGTGATGTTAATAATAATGAAATTAATAATAAAAAACAAAGTTCAAACACTGAAATGAACTTGCAAACTCGCGCCCAATTTCCGAACTTGGAAACGTAATTGGCAAGTTCGCAACGAACTTGGAAATCGCGCTTGAAAAGTGACTTGAAATCAACAGTAATATTGGTGCAAAGAATATGCAAGTACTGCAAGCGAACAAGAACTTAGCTAGGAAGTGGAACAGTGGCTCAAAGTCTGGTATAAAGTGACATATTATACAAGAGGAAAACCCTTGCTTGTCGATATTTGGTACCACAATTTTTTCTACTATACAAACGGAATACTGTGATCATGAAGAGACGGAATACTGTGATCATACTGTGATCATGAAGTTTACTATTCCGTCAGGCATTTTAGTATATTCGGAATAGCGGGAATTTCGACCCCTGATATGTTAATGTACCAAAGCGACGTTGCCTGTGTAAATCCTGTTTTAGTTACTCCAAAACTGCAAAAGAAATTTAAACTACCAATTTTTTTGAAAAGTTTGAATTCTCGAACTACTTTATGAACTACCACAGTAAAAAAGTACATTTAGTCATTATATCACACACACAAATTTCAAGGAATATGATTGGTTGGATTTGAAACAAATTATCATGGTAATTGGTGGGCGGAGAACAAATTTCCTTCAGATTGTTGCAGGCTCTATTTCTCGGCAATGGTTTTTCTAATGATTGTGATTGCCCCACTAAGGCAATGGTTTTTCTAATGATTGTGATTGCCCCACTTGGCAGTATGGCTTCGTGTACCCCGAAAAAGCACATATGAGTGTACATGCTCAGTACATTTCTATTTGGTTGTAAAAATTGATCAACCACACACATATTCTGGAACTGTGCTTTTGGGTATTCTAGGCAATTACCACAATTTTGAAATTTTTAAACACTCCCGAAAATCGAAAATCTTTGCGATCAGTTTTTATATTTTTGTGTTTTAGTGAACGAATAGCGTGCAATGCTAAAGAGAATTTCGTTTCTAAGAAACTCTGTATATTGTAACAGAGTCTTAGAAACATGGCATGGTATGCATTGTTATGGTTTAATCTACAAGAGATGTCATTCTGTCACACGAAATCCGTCAAGTGCTATATGGCTGCAGGTTCTTCTGTCTGGTCAAAGAGATACATCTCCTGGTCTATATTTATTCACCGACTCTGACAGGTACAGTAAATATAAGGCAACAAAAGTAATAATTCGTGAACGACCAATATAGAATGTAAAAACGCAAAAAAACCCCGCAGCGTCTATAAACACGGACATAGCTAGGTTTGTCATTCGCAGGAGCAAAACAACGACGCATCAACGCTCGTTTCTAATTCGAACAACCAGGGTGTGGAACAGCCTGGCTGACGAACTGAAACTTAACATTATAAATTTGAACTTTAAATCTACCATTCTAAGTTTACTTATTACTTCCGTGCTTTGGAAATTTCCTACAATCCTGAAAATCCAAGAACGTTCAAAACTATATGCATCAAGTGTAATACAACAACCTCTGTCGCAGGGTCGGCAGGGACTTTCCAATACCCTGGGTACGAGGATGAGTGTAATACCGCTCGAACTCTGGTTCGGCCTCTTAAAGGGGCCCTACAGTCATTTTTTAGTTGAAAAGCCACCTTAAGTATTGTTTACATTTTTTGTTATTGTCGCTACTTGACATGCGCACCACGGCATGCACGTCAGTTCCGGTGTGCGGAATTACTCATACTCATGGATACTGCATGTAAGATACAGCCAAACGAATCTCCGTGGAGTCCCCTACTTAAGGTAGCTTTTCGACTAAAAAATGACTGTAGGACCCCTTTAAGTGCTGCTATTTGTTATAGTTTTACTTAGATAGTAGTTTTTATGTTTGTATGTCCTAATTCGGCCCCGCAGTAATTGGCCCACGCAGTTGCGGTCACCCTGCCAATAGTCATGTGTATTTTTTTTTGTTATAGTATTATGTATTGTAGTATGGCGAAAGTAATAAATAAATAAATAAATAAATACGATTTACTGTACAGCAGATTTTTAAGACTGAAGATTAAGGTTTCTATAGCACAAATTTGCATGTGGTTAAGAGCAAATGCGCTTCTTTGAGAGAGATACAAGTACAACTACCTGCAAAATAGAAGCAGAACTTCGAAGGCTCTTCACCAGGTGCGAAACTATCCCCTTTTAATTCGGGGAGATACTCCCATCTGCCAGAATTGCCCTGCAAATGCCCTTTAGCAATTTTTTATTTTTGGCCAATATTTTTCCCAAAAATGTTGGGTGGGGAGGGGGGCTGTTTGAAAAAAATTTTCCGGACATTCAAAAAAAGGATCGAAAAAATTTTTCCGAACATATTAAGGGTCAAAAAAATTTTCCGTACAAATTCCTGTTAGCACACATGGGTGAAACCCTTATTTTTGGACCAATATCTGTAAATTCTGGTTTATAAATTCTGTTCGATTTCCTCTGGAAGCCCTGCAACTTACTTAATAACTCTGCATTCTTTCATTTAAAATCTTTGATGATTCGCCCTGCCAATCCAGATGATTCGTACTTTGGGGGGGGGGGGGTTCACACACCCATACCCCCCTCACGTTTCGCCCCTGCTCTTCACTAAGTCATAGAGACTAAGTTCCCGACGAGTGACATCACCGGAAAATTGGTATAACTCATTTTGGCGGCATTTTGCATCATGGCGCATTACCACAAAGTGACAGTAGTTTTTATTATGACAAGACTCAAAAGCTGTAGTTTTCTAGCTTGTGAACAAATGCACTTGTCATACTGTAGAACAATTGGACAAAGTACAAATTTTTGTTCGTCTGTATGGTTCAACAAAGACAATTTGGCAAAGCAGTTTGGGCATTTGCATGCGGTTGGTCAGCGATGTATTGTTGCATTCAGCTAATAGGGAGCTTAATTTAAGCATGTAGGACGGCAACACAACGACGACGGCAACCAATACAACGAGTCAAAGAAAAGAAATAAAGTCCCAGGGGAGTTTCAGACATGGTCGTCGTTCTGTTTACAACGGCAAATCACAGGTTTTCACGTCTTTAAAACAACGCCTGCATTTCAAGCCGTAACAAGTGCAACTTAAAATTCGGTTAGTAGAACTCTTCCCAAATATAAAGCCAATGTTTTCAGCTTCTTATACTGTATTAAATTCATACGAATTATAATATACGACAAGTTTTCTTTACTATCATTTAATTGAAGGAATTTATTTTGGCCGTCGTCGTGTTGCCGTCCTACATGCTTAAGCTCGCTATTGTTTGCTATCGTGGTGGTCAGGAAACCAAAAGCTTGTGTAAGGTACATACATGTACGTGCAATAGACCTTATACATAATGACGTCACAAGGTTTGATGCCCGCGAGGAATACTGGTCTTAGTAGTCATCGCCCGGGAAAATTGAACAATTTAAAATGGGCACTATCGAAATTTTCCCGGCATTCCTCGCGGGCATCAAGCCCTGTGACGTCATTATGCATAAGGTTTATTGCCATACGGTATGTAACCGCCATAACGTTTCCACAGTATTCTCCTTAAATTTGTCTATTACCTTTTGTATTCTACTGTCTGTAGATACCTCATCAATACCGGTGAAAACACGTTAAGGCATTTGCAAGCCACTGGACTGCCTACAAAAGGTCTGGATAAAATTTTGCTAACTGGTTCATCAATCAATCACATTGGTGGTCTTACAAATACGCTACTATCGATATCCACCCAACGCAGACTGTCTTATGAATGTCCCATCAATGTCCACGGCCCACCAAGCTTAGAAGCATTCTTGCAAACAATTAGAAAATCTTTTCAATATTTATCTAAATTTGATTTTGTAAAGTTAAACCTCATTGACGAAAAGACATCGTGGCACGAAATTTCGAATGATGAAAATTTGAGAATATTTGGATGTGCAATCAATGATGAGCCAAGCAAAGGTGATAATACGATATATCCTAGACTCGCTATATCTTATGCCTTCAAACTGCATGAACCATTGCGAAGAGTTTCGTTGGATGCCGTGCGGGAAATTGGAGTGCCTGATGATATATTTCAAAAAGTCGTGCAGGAATGTCAAATGGGAAATTCTATTAGTCTGCCATCTGGGAAAGTGGTGAGTTTTCAGTTATTGTATGCACAGTATATCATTCATTAATTAAACAACTAGAAACATACCAATTGCTATATGTTGTCATATCTGTACAGTAACCTATGGTAACTTGCCTAGATAACTCGCTGGAAAACCCTTGGGCGGAGTGTTTTCACACAATTTCTAGTTTTCCCAATTTTCACGTAGAAAACATCACGCTTCGATATATGGGGTGGACCTCTGCTATATTAGGGGCGGTTCGGTGCGCTCAATGTATAACTGGAGTCATCACGTAAATCCAGTGAACTTAATATAACTGTAAATTTTACTCTCGGCTCGCATTTCATGCAAATAAAACTGAGAAAAGATATAGACTAAAGCAAGTGTATCACATAATATTTCATGTTCTCAAAAAAATTCCCTGTTTGCATTTAATAACGTCATAATAATCTACTTATCATGTCTATCACGCCATGTACCGCAAAGCGTGATGCATCGTGAAGCGTTATGTTTTGTATTTTCAATTTTTTTTCGAGTTTTTCCCAACTCAAACATAAATATATAAAATGTAAAAACTTGAATGTGTTAAATAAAGAAGTACAGTCACTGGATTAATTCGCTTCATTTCTTATTTTTATAGATTATGCCAAGCGATATTTTCCTGGCTCCGCAACGCAGGCAGTCCTTCGTAGTTATCGACTGTCCGTCAAAACGCGTTTTCAGAACACTAACCCAATTTAACCAAACTAACTTTTTCAACCAAGATTTGAAAACTCATATTGATTTAATAATCCACATGACTCCATACGAGATTGCAACTACATCAGAATACAAATCGTGGATGAAAACATTTAACTCTGAAACCAAGCACGTCATAATGAACAACAGAATCGAGTCTAATCCTCCCCCTACGTTTTTTACTTTTGATAAAATTTATGACAAGTTAAACAAGGACCATTCACATGTATTCCCAGCTTTAAAATACTCTGTTATGGACACAAATGTGGTGGATTTCTTGAATTTTCCTGACACAGTAACAACCGCATCGCCTTCATTAAAGTACATTTTTAGACCACAAAGATTTGAAGGGTTTGAAGAAAATCGACTGAAGTCCAAAGTGGAAAGTTTATTGAAAACAATACGCGATAAAGAAAATGCGAAAAATTTTACCAGTTTTGAAACGAGTAATGATTTTGAAGTTGTTTTCCTGGGAACTGGATCAAGAATGTCGTCCGTCCTGCGAAATACTAGTGGTATTTTATTAAACTTAAGGTGAGAGTTGATTATTCATATAGAGCACGTTAATTTTAAAAAATCTGATTATTTTGAAATAATGCACAGTGACTCAAAATATTGAATGAAATTACTCATGACAAATTTCTCGACAAGTTTCTCTCTCCGCAGAGGCTTACATGAAGTTTCTGGTGAGGGAAAAGTGAGCACGCAAGGAGTGATGGGAAGAGCGAAGTAAAGGAAGCCTCTGCTAGTTAATGCAATCAATATGGCGTCATATATAATCGTTTGGAATTCGGTTCGATATCAACCTTCGAGGGTCATGTTTTCCACTTTCCTTTTAGGCGTACTTGAGTCTCAAAAATCATTGAGAAATTGACCATTTGCGTAATAGACAAAATTTTGATCTAAACAAGTCAAGACAAAAATTTCATCACAGCTTGTTTGTAATCTAAAATGACTGAAAATTGCAAACTTCGCAAGGCTGAAAAATTGCAAACTTCGCAAATTGCAAGCTTCTGGCCCAAGCTGTCCAGCTGAGTGGAGGGAATCCTGCTGATTAGGGGTGCTGTGCGGGCCCAATCATTGCGGCGTCATATTTGCATTTTGCACAATTGCAATCAAAAAGTACAAGTGAGACAGAAAAACATGGAAAAAAACATAGTTTCAGTGATGGAAAGCGTTTTACTGATTTTGTTTTCCTGGGATGTTTTGTTGATTTTCAGACCACTTTGGTTGACAGCAGAAATTTAGTAATTTTTTCTACGTTTTGGTAATTTTTTGCATGCTTATTTAGTAATTGCCTTGCAAAATATCTGGTCACACCACGGTGGTGTTTCCACAAACAAAACTATTATATATTTTATCGCCATGCAAACATACAAAGAACTTATATACAATGTATAAAAAATTAAATATTTGTACTCTCAAGTATGTCGTGTATTTTTGTAAGAGGAAATACTGTTCTTTCTGTTTTCTTAAGAGATGCAACATCACTGTTAATGGACTGCGGTGAGGGAACCTACAGACAGATGTGCTATCATTATGGAGAAGATATTGATATCATTTTGAAGCAACTTCGTACCGTATTTGTTTCTCACATGCATATTGATCATCATTTGGTAAGAATTTGAGAGCCATAACTTTATCAGCTCATGCCGATTTAGTGCTAACCGTCATTAACATAGTTGCCAACCCTACCGCATCCTGCGGGAGGCTCCCGCATTTGATCACTTTCCCCGCAAATTTCCCGCATTGACTTTTCCTCCCGCATTTTGAAAAATCCTCCCGTTTTTTCCCGCAAACATAAAAAATTGTAAAATGTATCCAAATCCAAAAATAATTTTTCCGGAAAAAATATTTACTGCGTTATAAACTCTCGCATTTTTATTTTAAAAAGTTGGCAACTATGCATTAAATGAAATTGTTTGTTCGTCCGTGCATTAATAGACCTTATGCATAATGACATCACAAGGCTTGATGCCCACGAGGAATGCTGGTCTTGGTAGTCATTGCCCGGGAAAATTTCGTTAGTGGCCATTTTCAGTCATTTTGTAATTCGCGCGGGAAATTGATACCTTTTTCAGAAAGCGGTATCAATTTCCCATGCGTAATACAAAATGATTGAAAAACTGCAAACTTCGCAAGGCTATAATAATAATATCCGCATTTTACAACATTTCGCAAAGAAACTTCCGAATATTACTAATTTTGTGATGCTCTTTCAAGCTGTGATAAAATATTTGTCTAGACTTGTCTAAATCAAAATTTTGTTCATTAGGTAATAGGTCCATTCAGAACTTATAACATATAGATTAGAAGCGTTGTGAAGCTGATGTTGTCTTAGCCCTAATCGCCCCATCCAGATTTCCTGTCTTGTAGGTTTTTCCTAACTAAATAAAATCTTTCCTGACTAAATAAAATCTCTTACCTTAAACTAAATCTCTTACCTTTCATGAATGGAATTGAGATTTTCACATATATTCATTGTAAAAAAAAGTATTTTATCTTTTTTAGGGGCTGGTAAACATTTTACTACAACGCAAGAAGATTATGGTACAGTGTCATGCATCCAAAGTAGTCGATTTCTTAGTCTGTCTGGGGGCACTATATATATAATTGGTGTTTCAGTCTGAGATTTCCCTGTCCGAATTTTATATTTATAATAATATCTAAATAAATAAATGTTTTGTCTGTGCAGGGAAGCTCTGATTACGTACGAATTATTGGACCTGAAAGTTTGGATTTATATTTGAGATATTTTGAAATGTTGACTGGAGAATCCCTGAATTTTAGGTGAAGTTTTGTAGCTTTTATTGTGTAATATTAATAAGGAATAAACAATTAACAATTATATGCCGAAGGCGAGGCGATTATCGGGTAATTCAGTATTTTTACACAAGTCTTTTGTGTTTTTTAAGACTGAATTTATTTTAATTTCGCTCATTTTTGTATCAGTAACTTCCACAAAACGGCTAGCCGCCATTTTGAAAATTTTAGTTTTGTTATATTCACCTGCATGTATAGGTGAATATAACAGATTAGTATAATTACATAGGTGATTATTGAAAATTCTCCACGCTGATTGGTTGCCGTTGAGGTGATTATTACGCGATAATCACCTAAGCGATTTTCAAAATGGCGGCCGAAGCCGTTTTGTCAATTGAAAGACGAAGAAATGTGCATTTTTAAATTTTTTTCCAAATAATCACCTATGAAATGATACTAAAACAATTATTCACCTCAGGCTCGGTGATTATCGGTGAATAAAAACCTCGACTTCGTCTCGGTTTTTATTCACCGATAATCACCTCGCCTTCGGCGAATAATTGTTAATTAATACGTCAAATTTGACCAATCAACTTGCAGTATTTGTTATACTCACTTGTGCAAAAATACTAATTTGTGGTAGTCCATCGTATACATGTACTACTAAGAACGCCTCCTGGAAAACCCTGAATGTTTATTGTAGTATATTGGAAAGTCCTTGACAAGTTCTGACATTTCAAGGCAATCCCTGCATAGAAAATCCTGGAAAATTAAACTTCTGTATAAGATACTTGAAGTATTAAACGTTCTCTGTATCTGATTGATGACAAAACCTTCTTGCGCACAGCATATCGATCTTTTCGCGATAGTGATGTCATCGACAGCGATATTTATAGGGAAAAAACTTGCCGATTTGTTGGAAAAATTACTTTTGTGACTTTTGTCGTCCTGGATTTTTAAAATTATGAAGGTGTATACGAAGCCTGTTCCAGGATATATGATTTGAACTAGTCTGTTCGTATTTACAGGGAATTAATCAACACGAAAGCTTACTTTTATTTTATGATGATTTCTCCTCGTAGTATTTGTGGTAACATTACTTTAAACCTTCGTTTCTTTTTGTACTATAGATTCACTCAGTTTTGGTGGGTGAAAAGAGGTGTTGGAAAGAAGGAGGGAAGAACATTCAGCCGCTCACTGGGCCTTTCAGCGGTATGTCGAGTATTTTAGAATCATATATTATTTAACCAATAATATGAACAAGCTTTCGTTGGATCCCTACGAACAAGCTACTGTTGCATCCTTACTAACGAAAGCTTGCTCTTATATGTAACACTGCATTTTGCATGGGTACCGTAAATTTCTGTTAAATCCTATAGCTTCTTTCTCTGACCTTTCCTCCTTTAAACGATCTCTTAAGACACCCACAGAGATTTACTCGTGACAACCTTTGATGTGGACATGATACTGTATGTATTAGAGGTGTGCATCAGATCGGATTGGACGTTTATAATCCGACAATTGGCTAATGTTTAAAATCCAATCCGATCCGAAATTGTCGAATCCGATCCGATCCGAGTTTTGATAAAGAATTCCGATCCGAAGAATCCTTTAATAAAATAAATTTCTCATTCAAGTGGAAATATTTAACCAAATAATAATTATTATATATAATTAATTCATTTTATTTCGAATATCAAAGTCCATCCGATCCGACTACGAAACAACTTTATCAATCCGATCCAATCCGAAATTAATATTTTTGTTCCGAAATCCGAACGAATTGGATTTGCACACCTCTATATAGTATGTATACATACATGATCATTAGTGCGTGCGTGGTGCGTGATTGCCCATGTCACAAACCGGAACTATGTTTAGTATCTTCAGTATTTTCGGGGGGGGGGGGGACCTTGCATGGGACCTCGAGTCCTGTTCGTGCTTATCGCCTTTGAGTTTTTAAAATTATATGTATTATTTAAAGACAAGATAAGTAAAGTCAATATATCTGTTAATAAAGTAGATTTTTCCCTCTCTATTTGGAGGAAAATATTTACCGAGCCGCCCCCATCATTTACGATCAGAAATTGCGGCTACAAATTGGCACCTAAGATGACTGTCAACTCATCTTAGTTGAGAATGCGTAGATTATAAATACTGACGTGCACTCATTTATAAATCAGCCCATTAAAAACCACTATTTTCACCACAGAGAGAGAATTACCCACTCTAGAACCAGGCGTCTATTTCTGTGCTTTATTTCAGCTTTCCGTAGTTCCTACCAAACACAGTGATTATTCTCATGGCTTGGTTGTTGAACGTAATGGTTGGAAGATTGTTTACTCTGCAGACACGAGACCTTGTAAACAGCTTATTGACACTGGTAAGAAGATGCTTCGCAAAAGTATATAGTCGATTATTATTTGATAGTTGTTTTTGGTGCAGTTCCTAAATGTATATCAACTATTTAATATTAAACTCCGTAAGGCGTGACTCTATTACTCTATATAATGCCCGTAACTAGACAGAATTGGCTGGTTATACCCAATCCGTATCACGCCATGCATTACGGACTTTTCTAGGACTTTTCCGCGCCAATTGAAATTAAACATTGAAAAATTGGAAAGTACCCAACTAAACCTAACCAAAATTTTGATCTCAACAAGTCTAGACAAAATTCCATCGTAGCATGAAAGATCATCACAAAATTAGTAATATTCCAAAGTTTCGTTGCAAAATGTTGTAAAATGCGGATAATATAGCTTTGCGAAATTTGAAATTTCCAGTCACTTTGTATTACGCACAGAAGTGGGTGGTAACCATTTCCCGTGCGGGAAACGGTTACTACTTTTCCAAAATTTTGATCTTAACTAGCCTAAACAAAAATTTCATCACAGCTTGAAAGAGCATCACAAAATTAGTAATATTCCAAAGTTTCGTTGCGTAATGTTGTAAAATGCGGATAATATAGCCTTGTGAAGTTTGTAATTTTCAGTCATTTTGTATTACGCACAGAAGTGGTAACCATTTCCCGTTTGTAATCTAAAATGACTGAAAATTGCAAATTTCGCAAGGCTATATATTATCCGCATTTTACAACATTTTGCAACGAAACTTTGGAATATTAATAATTTTGTGATGTTCTTTCAAGCTGTGATGAAATTTTTGTCTAGACTTGTTGAGTTCAAAATTTTGGTTAATTGGGGATTGGTCCATTATTCTCTATGTACTAAGCACGATGAACTTCAGAATTTACTTTGTATTGACGAGAATGCGAGAAATAATAATTTTAGTACCGAGTTACGACGACTCAGCAAATTTTTTTGAACAGTTGCTATGATCCTCTTCATATATATAATGTTTATTAATTCCTTTCCAAACCGTTGTGATTTTTCCTATGTATCAATTTCTTTGCCAGTAAGCTTAGGTACATGTATATCTCACGACCTCACATGTAAAGACAATTCAGTTTGTCGTATTTCCACTTTAGGGCAAAAAGCAACCTTGCTCATTCACGAGGCAACTTTCGAAGATCAGCTGTTGGACAGAGCAAAAGCAACGAACCATTGGTAAATAGACAATTCCCATTATAGGCTAATGTTAAAACTAGGCAAGGAGATGCAAATAAATCACCACAACTAGAAAGAGCATACTAAAATGAGCACATTTGCAAAGTTTGGTTGCGAAATGTTGTAAAATGCGGAAAATATAGCCTTGCAAAGTTTGCAAATTTTGTATACTTTTGTATTGCGTGCGGAAATTGCTACCACTTTCGAGAAGCCCAAATGTGGTAGGAATGTGGTAGGAATTTCCGCACGTAATACAAAAGTATACAAAATTTGCAAACTTTCAAGGCTATATTTTCCTCATTTTACAACATTTCGCAACCAAACTTTGTAATTTTACTAATTTTAGTATGCTCTTTCTAGCTGTGGTGATCAGGTTTAGCATCTCCTTACCTAGTTTTAAAATTAGTCTATAATGGGAATTGTCTATTGTTTACTAAAATATAGAACCTTAACAGGCTTGTAACCTTAAACCTCGGTTGCTTAAACCTGTGGTTTGGGCCCTCTTAATTATCACAAGTAATAACATACATGCATGGAAAATTTCTCAATTCTGATTGGCTAAGAGCTTAGAGCAGTGCAATTTTTTCGAAATACAGTGCCAAAAAATGAAATACAGTGCGAATTTCATTGACCATGAGATACAGCCATTTCAAGCAGAAAATAACACCAAAAAACCCCAAACATTTGCAAGTGAAAGAAATGGCTGGCGTTTTTAGTAGATTTTCTATTAAAATTATTTATATTAAAATAGTGGAAATCAGTTTGTCTGAAGTGCTATATATAAAGCCAGACAGCTTGCTGCAACAATGAAATGTTGTTCTTGGCAATTATTTAGTGTAATATAGTTCATTTTATCTGATGTAGGGTTGGATTTTTCCCCATTTTAATTCGTCTTACCCTATATTATTGACGGATACAGAATCTATATATATTCTCACATTTATTCAGTTTTATATTTTCCATTTTGTTTTTCCAAATTTTGAAATTTTTATGCTCTCTCTCTACTTCGGATAAAAAGGACTATACTGTAATCCTTGTTTGATATTTATATTATATACATGTATATTGTGAAGTTTTGTATACATTTGTTTTGTAACAGGTCACTATAACGTAATTGGCTCACGCTCTGTTAGTGTTCCTGAACCGTCTTCCTGTTTGAATATGTTTATATTTGTGTTGACGGCTGAAGTTAATAAATAAAAATGAACTATTCCGCATGTGACCTATATACGCACGCATGTGACTGCATAATTTTTTCATGTATATTATGCATTAAAAATTTACTTTAAATTAATATAAAGTATAACTTACTTTATTAATATAAAGTATAACTACCTTTTATGTATTCTTTATGTATTTAGGGGTGGTTTTAGTTTGATATAATGATATAAAAACATCATGAGAGTAATGGCAAAGCGCGATCATATAAACAATAAAACAACCCCTTATTCAGCAAATTGTTCATGCTGCCTTTGATCCCTTGGGGGCGAGGCAGCACTTTCCTTGCGATAGTAACTTCTAGTTAATAAGTAATAGTATGCATGGTTTCTCGTGCAATTTTGGAAAACATACGCGAGTTTTTCAAATTGCACTCGTTCTTCACAATTTCGGTAATGTCTATTGTTTTTTCCGTAGTACTGTGTCAGAAGCCATTAGATGTAGTGAACTAATGAAAGCTGAACATACCATCCTAACCCACTTCAGCAGCAGGCATTTGTTTCCATGTGAAACCGCTCGTCTTCCTGATCGTGTGAATTTTGCCTTTGATCATATGACGGTATGTAACAACGGCCAACTTAGACAGCCTATCGTTTGGACTGAGTACCCAAATGTATAGACTGCAAGCAGTCCCTCGGGACCAAAGTACAACCCGACTGGCAGCCAAGCAATCGGAGACATTTTATCCGGCTGTCAGCCGGCGTCAAACGCGTGTGGTGGTCGAATTATAAATACACAGTTATGTAAATATAATAAGTTCTTTGTATGATTGCATGGCGATAAAATATATAACACTTTTTGTTTGTGGAAACACCACGTAAATTTATTACTGCAAAGCTTTCGATCCGTAAGCCCGGATCTTCATCAGTGCTAATAATATGTGCATATTGTTAGCATATTATTAGCATATTATTAGCATATTATTAGCATTGATGAAGATCCGGGCTTACGGATCGAAAGCTTTGCAGTAATAAATCTACGTGGTGTTTCCACAAACAAAAAGTGTTATATGTAAATATACTTATTTCAACTTGAAAATGATACAAGAATTAGCATCGAAACGTCGTTCTAAAATAAAACTCATGTTGCTTGCATGTGCTTCAAAACTAATTTCAATTATAAATTATGATTTTAAGATCTTGCAATCTCGGCGTCTCGTTTAGGATTCAACAGTATTTTTATCCGACGCAGGGCGCGTCATTTTGGTTAGACTGCGAGCGGTCCCTCCTTTCCACGGGTTTAGCTTCCCGGCCGTGCGAGGGGAAAGGAGGGACTGGCGACAACATCAAGAAACGAAATACGCCCACTTTTCGCTCTTGTCAAGTTGACTTCACCTTTGCATAAACATTACTTATATCCAATTAAATATATCCAATAGGAACCGTTAATGTCTTGTTTATTTATAAAATCAACATTCAGTCTGGAAATTATTTATAGCAATAAATTATTACGTATCAGATTTGATTGACGGGCACATCGATTTCGACCAATGGGAATTTTGCGTTGTGTGGGCGTATTTCGTTTGTTGATGTGTTGTCGGCAGTCCCTCCTTTCTCTACTATTGGCTCGGGAGACTGGTTCTAGAATGTATTTACAGCCGAGGGTATCTACCAACATGCAGAGCCGTATCTAACTGTAATTTAGTACTACAATAAAACACTGCTGGCAGGCGAGCCTGTCTGCAGTATACTATAGTTATATAACACAATATGTACAGGCAATATACAGCACGGCAGTTACATAACAATTATAGATAACCTCAGCTGATAGCCGTGATCAATTGTAGTATACTATAGTATACTGCGTACAGGATCGGCTGCCAGCCGTGTTGTATTGTAACCACTGCTGGTAACCGTGGTGTATTGCAGTCTCGCATTCTGCTCGACTTATAAGTAAACACTTACCTTGATTAATTATAATTCTGGATATCACCGACAAAAACCTCATCCAATAACTGTTTATCACATGACAAGAAAGATTTTTCCATGCAGGGAAGGTGACACATTTACTTACATATATTATTTTGTTTTCGTCTAGGTTCGGCAAAAAGACCTGAGCACATTGCAAAGGATTATGCCAAGTCTTGAGAAGACTATCCTTCAATCACAACGAGGAAAACGACCACGGAGAAAACGAAACTAAAGCTTTAAGTGATAAGTAATCAATGAAATCTGTGATGCGTCTTTACAAACAAGCAGGCATTGCCTTGACGAAAACAAACGCGCTTGACAAATCCACTCCTTATACTATAGCCTTTTTTCCATTTGTTGCAAGAGTGAACTCCCAAGCTCGCTACAAATGCTTTCATCCAATCACAAGGCTCGACAGTTATTTTAATTAGATGCAAGCACTCGCCGCGAGCTTGCGAGTTGTTTTTGCGATGAGTGGAAAAGAGCCTAAACCAAGGACTCAATGACAATTGTTTTTGGAATTAAGGGTTGAAAATCCCTGCATTTAACAACAGTATACACGTAATATCTGCTCCTGAGCGAAATAGTTTTGTTTTCCCGAGAGTTTCAATGTTTTCCGAAAACTACAGACATTAGTTAAGTGTTTAACCAGGGGTATTTTAGGTTTGGGGACTTGAGTGGGAGCTCCCCCCAAATATCAGGTGTTTTTTTATTTGGGAGGAACCCCTCCCCCCCCCCCGCCTCGTCCTATAGTCAGAACCCTCATACGTCATTTCCTATGCTCACCTATTTCCAAGAGAGGGGATAGAAATTATTCTGATATCACAAAATTATTATTCTGGGTTAATTCACCAACTGCTCCTCTAAGTGATTACCCATTTTTATACTCCAGGTTATATGCCTTTTAGTGTACCGCTTACCATGCAGTTTAATATTAATAATGATATTCAGTAGATTCATTCCCCCCTTTTTCGGGGAAAATGCTCCCCTCAGAATTTAGCTATTTTCAGATTGGGGGGGGGGGGGAATTTGGGATTTTGGGGGGAATCCCCCCTCCCCCCGCAAAGTACCCATGCAGTGTTTTGTTATACTGTATGAACAATATTTATACAACAATTGCAATTGCATATTTCGTGACAAAAACTCAATACATATGTATGTATTCTGTCGGAGCGGGCAACAATTTTTTACATGTTGCCCAGCAGGATTCATTGCATTTATGTAAAGCCACGTGACCACAAATCAGCCAAGCACGTTTGGAGTTCACCCTAGCTATATAACAATTAACAATTTGCCGAAGGCGAGGTGAGGGGAATATTCACCGAGACGAAGTCATTTGTGTTTTTTTGGGACTGAATTTATTTTAATTTCGCTTATTTATTTCGGTTTTATTATATTCACCTGTAGGTGAATATAACAGCTTAATACGTCAAATTTGACCAATCAACTTGTAGGATTTGTTATGTTCACTTGTGCAAAAATACTAATAGTTGTATCAAGCCCGTTTAGCTAAAACGGTGATTAAGCTCAAAATAGAAAGCAAGTCTATAGATTCATTCAACAATTTTGAACCTTAATAGAACGATATTGTTTACAACTACATATTCAGTACAAAATATTTAAGTTGACTGATTCACGAGAGATATAAGAGTGTTATTTAATTTTGACTTATCCACCGTGGGGGTTTGATACAACCGGTCCCAGGGCCGGTTGTATAAAAGGTAGTTAATTCTAACCACGGTTAGTGCGAAAATGAGCTAATCAAAATGGCCTAAACCTATCCCTAACACAATAAATCCGTTCACAATAGTCAATACAGCACGTTGTTCAGCTTTTCAGGTTTATTAATTAAACGACCCCATCCAGCTGCTGATAGCACACCTCGACCAAGTTCACAATTTAGTGAGAGCATGACGTGCATAACGCCAAAACACTAGCATTTGGACAAGTTTCAGTCAAAGCGCAATAAAAAGTGCATGCGCGGCCACATGACGTTATACGAGAGAGTGCTGTGGGTGGGTTATTATAGTAAGAAATATTTATTGTATTTTAGTGAACTTTCTGGAAGTTTTAAGAAAGTTTTTCTATGATACCGCGCATAACTCGCTGTGAAAACCCGTTATGAAATTTATTATATTCATTTTGAAATCAATGGTGTTTCCTGCAATCTGACTGGTTCACAGGAGTGCGATTTCAGCACGAATCGCACTGCGATTTGTGCTGAAATCGCACTGCTGTGAACCAATCACATTAGAGTGCTGACTTCAGCCAACCAATCATATTTAATCATAGGATTCAAACAGCCAATCAAATTTAACAAAAATGTGTTATGGCAAATGAGCACAAGGCGGGGCAAGGGGGCGGGATTTGATGAGAAAGTATATCCCGTGAGTGGGGAATTTGACAATCAGTACAGTCCCGGGGGCAGGGGTATTTGACAAATTTTTAAAATTGTTGTCATTTTGCATATATAATGAGCAGGGACACAGTGGGATCTCCGGAACATCTGGGACAAATTTTGCCACCAAATCATGTGTTGTCAGTTCTGGAAAATGGCGGGGAATACTGAATACGATATAAACTGTTGATTTTTCTCATTTTAATATTCATGAATTGTACTTCTCTTGAAGCAATATAAATAATAGAATACGAACATTTTTTTGTCAAGATGTGGATATTATGATATTAACCACTTTGTTTAATTTATTTCAAAAATTAAATTGTATTTATGTTTCACGTACCGTACGTACGGTAAATTATATATTCAACATGAACAAGTGTTTTCTCTCCGATATACGGACAAGCAGGTTGAATATATGAGGCAATTGTCCATATTTAGAAATCATAGGAAAAACCTTTGCAATTGTTGGATATGCCTTCTCAAACAAATCCATACTTCAAAAGAAAATCGAGAATTAAATTTTGGCGAAAAATGGCCGTAATCTTCCTATGATTTCTAAATATACTTCTTAATATACTTCCTTTATGAATTATTCAGTTTGAGAAATCTCTTTGAAACAGTTTTAATTGCCCCTGGGTACGATCGATTTGACCAGCACTTGAATCCTTGGGGTAGGGACACAAAATTTTGTTTGAATGTCAAATCCCGCCCCCTTGCCCCGCCTCCCCCCCCCCACCCCCCGCCGGCCTAACATTGATATGTGCATAATTACAAAACCTCATCTTGTTCGCTTATTGTTGCTATGCTACAACACTCAGGGAGGTACCGGAGGTGTGTCTTGCAAACAAAAACGTTTCCGGTTTACAAAAATGTTTAAATATTTCAAAATGAATATAATAAAGTGGAAATTGAACTTCGTGTCGTGCATTTTGGACTGAAATCAAACTTGTGATTACAAATCACACTCCCACTTCGCGGTCGTGCGATTTTGTAATCACGCGTTTGATTTCAGTCCAAATTGCACTCCACTCAGTTCAATTACCATTATATATTGGTGAGATTAAACGCCAATAATAGTGTACTGTCTCGTTCACTCGCAGGCAAAATAACGTATCAATTAAATATTCGAATTGTATTACATTTGAATGATAATATAGTTCACGAGCATCCATGCAGACTTAATATATACAAGTGTGGTGGAATATAATTAGCCATCAAATTGCCTGTGAATTAGTAACTCACGGAAAATGGCAAGCTGGATGTATATTTCGCTTATTTCTATGCTATTTTTTAAAACTATCAACAAAATGATAGTTCATTTGTTTCCACCGCCAGTACAATTGCGAGTTCAGTGGAGAAAGGTATGGCTGTGGGAGAATCTTGTGACTTCATTGGTGCACTCGATAATTAGTGCTACACTATCAATTTACAGGTAGGTTTTGCGACATATTTATGACTTATGTCTATAGTAATTTGCTATATACACCGACTCGAAAAATATTTATACATTTTTCCAAAATTAATTTCAGTTAAGGTAATCACTGTCACCTTGTAGAATACTTCATGATTACAGTCGATTTCACAAAACTTTTGCCAAAATGTTCCAAACTTCGTTCCGAAGTTCACAAAATTCGTTTCGAAGTTCACAAGTTCAACATTCAAATTCACAAGCCGGTTTGTAAACAAGACCTCCGATTGGTCCATGAATTGAAAGAAGCCAATCAAATACTTAGTTTGCAAACCAGTTTGTGAACTTATGAACTTGCAAACTTCAAACTTTGGAACTTCGAAATGAACTTGCAAACTTTGAAACAAAGTTCAGAACATTTTGGCAAAAGTTATGTGAAATCGACTGTAACAGTTTTACAAAGTATAAAGTATAATACTATATTATGTAAACTATTCTCTTTAAGAAATACCGAAGTTTATGCTAAATTTGCAAACAAACCTAACTTGTTTCTGTGCACATTTTAAAGATTTGTAATTTCGCTCACATAGATTGTTCAGTAACAATCTTGACACTTTAATTGCCTTAGTAGATAAGTCTGTGTTGAAGAGTAGTTTATTTACCTGATCTTGTAGTACATAAATATATATGGATTCAAAGTAGTTGCAGCTAGTTTTAGAATCGGTGAATACTTAGTTAACATTTGTTGCAATGCCTGAATTTGATGTTATTCCGTTTAGCATATACATCACGCCATCAATGACCAGAGATATGATCAACACAAGGAATAATCTGTTATACTATACCCTGGCCATTTCCATTGGTATGTAGCAACTAATTATACTGTTTGGTGTCTTGCCAGTGTTTTGCCTAATGGAATTTCAAAAACGTTTTTCTTAATATCGCTATGTTTTTTATTCGCACTTTAGGATATTTCGTGTACGATGTAATTGATTTATCCGTTAATGATAGACAAAGATCGCTTTGTATTATTATTCATCATATGCTTGTAAGTGTTTGAATATGACGTATAATTTTGAATATGCCTATAGAAATGGGTTTTACTTCTCTTTTTGTCTAGTTCAAACATTTTGATGTATGTTGATTTTGTCGTAATTTGATGAAATCGCTTATCAATGTGGTTAAGTGCATGTGAACTACATTACTTACAGAAGCTGCTGGAAACAGCATGATACTAGTGATATAGTGTGTTTTGAATATAGTCGCTACGATACGAGTATATAATTAGAGTGATCAGCATTCCTGATATATAGGCTAGGGTGTATAAAAGAGCGCACAGTTCTAAAGTGTCCGCTAAACTGAAAATTCCGAAAAATTTGTGACAACTTTATGTTCTTGTGGGTAGCTTGGAGTCCGTTCTGGTATCTCTATGACAAATTTTCCGAAAAGTAAGACTTAAAATGGAAGGTTCGGAACGCAAGTTTGGTGAACTATCAAAATACCAGATAATTTGTATACTTACGTCTTCGGTGCGACCTCTAAAAATTGGATTTTTTTGCCATTGTAGCCTTTCACGCATAATTTAGTGCACCCACAACGGATTTTATGCATGATTGATTTTTACATTCTTTTTACAAAACGTTTAAAAATATGCGTGATCACGAAAGGCTATATATACTATATGCTGGCGGAAAGTCCATTCAAGTTTTAGTTATAAAACACCTTTTAACCTACCATTCTTGTAATATGGTATATTTCATAATAATTGTGATAGAGATTCCAGAAGACCCCAAACTTGGGTTTGTGGTATAAAGTGGGCAAAAATGGTGCGGAATTGTTTTTACCTATTGCTATAATTTTGAAGTGAAAAAGACGCGTCCCCAAGTTCAACCTGCACGAAAGGTTCTAGAAAATATTGTAGGTATTGCTGAGTGAACACATATGAACTACAGGGTCGAACTTGCATACAGTGTGCATACAGCCAATAGATGATTTATAGACTTGATCTAGGCAAGAAGAAAAAATCCATCGCCACAGCTAGGAAGAGCATGTTAAAATTAGTAAAATTGCAAAGTTTGGCCGCGAAATGTTGTAAAATGCCTAAATATGGTGCATTTTGCCGCACGTAATACAAATTAATACAAAATTTGCAAATTTTGCCTGGCTATATTTTCCGCATTTTACAACATTTCGCGGCCAAACTTTGCAGTTTTACTAATTTTTTACATGCTCTTTCTAACTGAGTGTGATGGTGATGGATTTTGTTCTTCTTGCCTAGATCAAAATTTAGTCTATAAATCATCTAATTTTTTACATGCTCTTTCTAACTGAGTGTCATGGTGATGGATTTTGTTCTTCTTGCCTAGATCAAAATTTAGTCTATAAATCATCTAATTTTTTACATGCTCTTTCTAACTGAGTGTGATGGTGATGGATTTTGTTCTTCTTGCCTAGATCAAAATTTAGTCTATAAATCATCTAATTTTTTACATGCTCTTTCTAACTGAGTGTGATGGTGATGGATTTTGTTCTTCTTGCCTAGATCAAAATTTAGTCTATAGCTGGAATCATCTGTTCGGTTGTCCTTTACTTATCTGAACACCAGGAACTGGATGATGGATTGATCCCTTTCAAATCAATCAGCCATGCAATTTTGAGGCCAGAATTTTATAATGAAATGAGTTTTGTTCTGCAAAATCTCTGCGAACTAGATCGCGACGTGTTTAAATTAGCTACATTATCAAGCAAATGCCTTTTTCTGTTTAGCTCTAAGCGCGATAATAAACAAGCCCATTGTGTTTCCGAGCTTAGAGGTCGAAGCTTTGCGGTTGTGAGTTTTGACCTTTGCAGGCCATGTAATCTTTATTGAAGTAGCTGAATATTTCTGAT